GCTAATTTTTTTACAAGTCTTTTATATGGCACCTTGTCAAATGCTTTTTGAAAATCTAGATACACCAAATCTACACCCTTACCCTCATCTACATAAGCAATAACCTTTTCAAAGAATGTCAAAAGATTTGTAAGGCAAGATTTCCCCTTAGTGACACCATGTTCACTATCCAATAAAATTCTAAACTTTGTTAAATGGCTTTGCAAAGCATCTTTTAACAGACCTTCTAAACCTTAATGCAGCCATCTTGTTTGATCTTGTTTCCATTTATCAGCTGTTCAAGATGTGGAATGCTGCTTAAATCTTCATTAGTAAAAAAACGAGGAAAAAACAAAATTTAATAATTCACCCATCTCATAATCATCAGATTCAAGCTTTCCTTTATCATTTCTCAAGGGTCCTATCCTAACATTTTGTTTCCCCTTAATGTATTTAAAGAAATCCTTACTGTTAATTTTCACATATTCAGAGAACTTTTTCTTGCACATCCTTTTTGATGTCCTAATTTCCTGTTTCACCAACTTTCATACCAGTCAATTTAAATTTCTTTAATTTATGATGCTTTTCTTTAATTTTATCTCTTAAACTCTTTGTGAGCCAACCTGGTTTTTCACTTGTAGCTACCCTTTTCTTTCTATTAGGAATATGTTTACATTGAATATTTAAAAATTTTCCACATCTGATCAGTTGCTCCAAATAACTCAGCTGCCCAATTCACAACAGATGACTTATCGCATCCCTTCAAAATTTGCTTTTTTTCAAATTTGTAACCAAAATATCATTATTTCTTATAATGTAGATGATTGAACTGTATCAATTTACCCAGTCATGCTAATTCTCTTGCTAAATAATTGTAATTGGGAGTTTAGCTAAACATTTTGCTTTTCAGTGATTCATCCTTGTTTGTAATATTAACTATATGACTGAAACAATACATGTTAGATATGTTATTAAAATGTTATATGTTAAGAATGGTTCAGAAAATTACACATTTGTAATTAATTATATTTTAATTTGTTATAAAGTTAATCTATTGAGTTCAAATCCATATCTATCTAGGAGTTATGTAATTCAAGTGAGTTTAAGAAAAAGCTTTAAGTATATGAATGATAAGGGCTGGCCATGCAAGGCCAATCTTCTACTGAACAGATAAAATAACAACAACAAAAAGGAACAACTAGTTGATGTTACATAATAGAGCTATGCTTACAAAGATTAATTCATACTACCATTGTTCACTTCATCATAAGGTAAACCATTCTGTAAGGTGACATGTAATTTGGCAAAAAAATATTTACACTATGGCTTTCAAATTTGATTTTCAAGTCTTCATTCTTATTTTATTAATGTTCCTGCTCTGACTCTTTGTAAGCAGTTTGCTTATACAAACCATTAAGAAGTTTGATAACCAAAACCATGTGGTGTCGTATTCTCCTTTACATTAGAAAAACAAGTCCCAATCTGAGATTAAATTTCATAAATTGGGTATTATTCTAGTATTCCATCACTGCAGTCCTATGGTGGGACAGCAATAAGTCTGTGGATTTACAGTGCTAAAATAAGAGGTTCAGTTCACCTCAGTGTACACAGCTGATAGCCCAAAGTGGCTTTGCTATGAAAAAAAAAAGCAAAACACACTCGTCACTGTAAGCTTTCCAGCATATCTGTATCCTTCTTGTAATAAATAAGGAGAGCAAAATGGTACACAGTATTCTAAACAGACAGTGCATAGACCGTACAAAGGTTTTAGTAACATTCTTACCATCTATAAATTCCAAAATTCTTTTAGTAACTCTGCTAACATTTATTTTAAATTGTAAGAAATGTACTGTGATATTCATAACATGTTCAGGGTGGTTTTCCAATGTTAAGAAATATGCAACAATGCATAGAGTTAACTGCACTTTATGTGCACATGTGACCTACTTATAGTCTACAGAGTATTGAAGTATAGTAATGAGCTCTAAAAACCACATCCAAAACCACCTGGATGAGCATTTCCATCTGTAAAATGAAGGCTTTTGTTATGAAAGAATATTCATATTCATCCAGTCATTCTTCAGTTTCAATAACCGTTTTCATGAAAATGATAGTCAAAGAAACTGAAGTTCATATGACCACATTACCTAGTAAGCACCTCAGTTGAGCTCTAATGATCTTTCATGCCTTTAATTTGCTGAACTGAATGTGCATAGGACCAACCCCATATTGGAGAATTAATGTTGAGTATAATTCCAAATTTACCATGTGTATCTTCACAAAACATGGTAAGCTGTTAGTGAACAATACAAGTCTGTTGTACAAAAAAAAATAATGTGTTAATAAAGAATCCTGACAAGTTAGAGTGCAAGATGATGCTCATGTGAAAAATAGAAATACATTTTTCCATCATATAGTTTGCATATTCCATTTGGCCAACTTCTACAACCTGCTAAATGCATATCTAAAGTGTTTTTTTTTTTTTTCTTCTTCTTCTTCTTCTTCAGTATATCTGTATGTTGCTCATGGTATTTTCTCTACTCTAACATGAACTGTTGCAAAATCAGCAGTGTAAGGAAGCTTTGATAACTCCAACATTGAATGGCACTCTGTACATGGTCAGGGCCTGCACACTTTGACCCCAACCAATCAAAGAGCGATAAGAAAAAAGGCATTTTTCACTCTGAGCTAATGTCACTTGTGAGGTCCATCATAGATCTGTTTTACTGCACTTGTTATTTCTTATTCATGTTAATGACCTGGAATGTTCTTTAAGTAGTAGTAATTTCAAATTTGCTGTCAATACTACAATGCTGGGAAGAGCCAACTTTACTGAAAATGCTTCTCTTGTGCCCCATATTGTTTTTTTTACTGTGTGTGTGTGTG